CCCTTTTTCTCTTCGTGTCCCCTCCCCTCCCCACGCTCGGGTGGGGACACGGCGTCACACGCGTGTGGCACCTGCAGGGACACGCGTGTGCAAGGGAGGGGCGGGGACCCCTCCCCAAACCGCGGCCGCTTTTGGGGAGGGGGGTGGCACACGCGACACGTGTGTGGCTGTCCCCGCGTGTCGCCTCCCCCCCCCCCCCCCCGGGGGCCGTGGCTGGTGGCCCCGGGTGTCTCCATCGCCCGGTGACAAAGGGCCATTGTCACCCACCCCGCGCTATTGGGGAGGGGGGGAAGGGGCGGGGGCGCTGCTGCACAATGGGGGGATTGTCCCCCCCCCACACCCCCGTGGCCCCACCCGGGGTGTCACTGTCCCCCTGTCCCGTGGCTCCGCCTCCCGCTGTCCCCACGTCCCGACGTGTCCCTGTCCCCTCCCCGTCCTCATCAACTCGCTGTCCCCTCGCTGTCCCCTCGCTGTCCCCGTAATCCCGTTGTGTCTGTCCCCTCGCTGTCCCCATGTCCCCGCTGTCCCTGTGCCCTCGCTGCCCCCACATCCCCACAGTGACCCCCAGTGTCCCCCCCAGTGTCCCCCCCCGTGACCCCCCTGTCCCCTCAGCAGATCCTGAGCACGGTGGACTCCCAAGCTCCCAGCGCCGCGGGGCCATCAGGCTGTGGCCCTGTCCCCGTCCCTGTCCCCGTGGTGGCCGTGCCAGGCCCAGGGGTGGCAGCAGCGTTGCCCAACGGGGCCCCCCCGGGTCCCCCCGCGGTGACAGACGACAGCAAAACCAACCTGATTGTCAACTACCTGCCCCAGTCCATGAGCCAGGAGGAGCTGAGGAGTCTCTTCGGGAGCCTCGGCGACATCGAGTCCTGCAAGCTCGTCCGGGACAAGGTCACCGGTACAGGCAGGGGACAAGGGGACAGGGCAGGGGACACAGGCAGGTGGCACGTGGGGGGACGGGGGGATTTGAGGTGTGGGACGCGCAGGACACGGGGGCGTGGCACGGTGGGACATGGGCAGAGGGGGCACGGGGAGCTGTGGGGACAGGGATGGGCTGTGACCGTGGAGCAGGGACAGTTCCGTGTCCCCTCACTGTCGCCGTGACCGTGGTGTCCCTGTCACCGCTCAAGTTTGAGCACGAGTCCGTGGGGACACAGGGGACAGGGATGGTGGGAGGGACATGGATTTTGGGGAGAGAGGTGGGGACAGGGATGGGACACAGGGAACAGGGATGGTGGGAGGGACGTGGATTTTGGGGAGAGGGGTGGGGACAGGGATGGGACACAGGGGACAGGGATGGTGGCATGGACACGGATTTTGGGGAGAGAGATGGGGACAGGGATGGGGCACAGGGGACAGGGACCCACTGGTGGGATTTTGGGGAGAGAGGTGGGGACAGGGATGGGGCACAGGGGACAGGGATGGTGGCATGGACATGGATTTTGGGGAGACGGGTGGGGACAGGGATGGGACACAGGGGACAGGGCCACCCCCACCCCCTGGTGACAGTGACATGGTGCCCCAGGACAAAGCCTGGGCTACGGCTTCGTCAACTACGTGGAGGCTGGGGACGCTGACAGGGCCATCGGGGCCCTCAACGGCCTCAAGCTGCAGACCAAGACCATCAAGGTGACATGGGGACATGGGGGTGGGCACCTGGGGGGGGGTTTGGGGCGGGGGGTGGCACCTGGGAACCCTTTGGGGTAGGGGGAAGAACTTGTGGGATCATTTAGGGGGCGCTTTGTGGTGGGTGGGAGCCCTGGGTGGGCTATGCCCGCTGCCCCCTGGGGGGGTCCCGAGGGCTCACCTGTGCCCCCAGGTGTCCTATGCCCGGCCCAGCTCGGCCTCCATCCGTGATGCCAACCTGTACGTGAGCGGGCTGCCCAAGGCCATGGGGCAGAAGGAGATGGAGCAGCTCTTCTCCCAATATGGCCGCATCATCACCTCCCGCATCCTCGTGGACCAGGTCACAGGTGGGTCCAGGTGTGCCCACGTGTGCTCCAGTCCACCTGGGGAGGTGGGGACACCACCTGGGGAGGGGGTGCTGAGAGTCTTGGGGATCCTGGGGGTGGTGGGACAACCCCTGGGGGTTCTGAGGGTGGGAGATCCCTGGGAATGAGTCCTGGGGGGTTCTGAGGGGTTCTGGGGGGTGGGACTCCCCTTGTGGGGGTTCCCCGGCCGTCCCTTTAGGGTCTGGGGGTGTGCACGAACATTCCCGGGTGCCTGGAAGGGGAAGGAGGTTTTGGGAGGGGGCGTGTCCCTGACCCCCGCGTCACCTGCGCAGGTGTGTCCCGAGGGGTGGGGTTCATCCGCTTCGACAAGCGCGTGGAGGCCGAGGAGGCCGTGCGGGGGCTGCACGGGCAGAAGCCCCTCGGGGCGGCCGAGCCCATCACGGTCAAGTTCGCCAACACCCCCGGGCAGAAATCGGGGGGGGCCCTGCTGAGCCTCTGCCCCGGAGCCCGGCGTTACGGGGCTCTGCACCCCCCCCCGCAGCGCTTCCGGTGAGGAACGGGGGTCCTGGGGGGTCCTGGAGGGGTCCTGGGGGGTCAGGGGGCTGGGAATGGGGGTCCTGGGGGTCCTGGAGGATCCTGGGGACTGGGGGAATGAGGAATCCCTGGGAACGGGGGTCCTGGAGGGGTCCTGGAGGATCCTGGGGACTGGGGAAATGAGGAATCCCTGGGAATGGGGGTCCTGGGAGGCTGGAGGGGTGGGACACCCCTGGGAACAGAGGCACTGAGGGTCCTGGGGTGGTCTGAGAGTAGAAACAGAAACGCCGAGGATCCCGGGCTCTTCGGAGGGTGGATTTTAGGGGGTGGGCACAGGACCCCCCCCCCTAGAACCAGGGACACCCCTTGCTGTCCCCCACTGACATCATCGTGTCCCCTCCAGCCTCGACAATTTGCTGAACGTGGCATACGGGGTGAAGAGGTAACGCCCCCTCCCCACTCCCTAAACCCACCCCCCAAATCCCCCCAAAACCCTGCCCACAGCGCAGGAGGGGACCCCCGGGACGTCCCCACTGACCCCAGGCCAGCCCCTTGTCGCTGCTGCCCAGGTTCTCACCGTTGGCCATCGAGGCGGTGCCGGCGCTGGCCGGGGTGGGCTTGGGGACCCCCGGCCCCGGCTGGTGCATCTTCGTCTACAACCTGGCCCCGGAGGCGGACGAGAGCGTCCTGTGGCAGCTCTTCGGGCCCTTCGGCGCCGTCACCAACGTCAAGGTCATCCGGGACTTCGCCACCAACAAGTGCAAAGGCTTCGGCTTCGTCACCATGACCAACTACGAGGAGGCGGCCATGGCCATCGCCAGCCTCAACGGCTACCGCCTGGGCGACCGCGTGCTCCAGGTGTCCTTCAAGACCACCAAGCAGCACAAGGCTTGAGCTTTGTCCCTCCTCTGGCCACGGGGGTCTCCTGTCACCGCTCTCGGCTCGTGGGGGTGTGAGGCACCCGCGGAGGAACTCAGCTGGAGGGTCCCGGGGAGCACCGTGGGCACCCGGAGACCTTGGGGACCCTCAGGGACCCCCCCCCATGAGCGGCGTGGAGACCTCGAGGACCCCCCCGTGAGCATCAAACACATCCTGGAGATCTCGGGGTGTCCCCCCCATGAGCAGCGTGGAGACCTCGAGGACCCCCCCCCTCGCCGCCGTGAGCATCAAACACATCCTGGAGATCTCGGGGTGTCCCAAACGAACGCCGTGGAGAGCCCCAAATTTAGGTCCTGGGCACCCCCCTCTCCGTGGAGAGCCCCAAATTTAGGTCCTGGGACCCTCCCCCTCCATGGAGAAGCCCAAATTTAGGTCCTGGGACCGCCCCCCCCTCCGTGGACACCCAGGACATCCTGGGTGTCCGGGATGGAAGAACCACACCTGGAGATCTTGGAGACCCCGTGAGCACCGTGGAGACCCCCGGAGACCCCCTCCACGGGCGCTGAGGACGCACCTGATGCACAGCCTGGACACCTGGACACCTTCACCTGTCCCTGATGGGCATCCTGAGGACTCCTCCAGGTGCTCCAGGTGCACTGGAAATCCTGGAGACCCCCCCCCCCAGGACACTGTGGACACACCTGGGACCGCCCCTCCCCACCCCAGGTACCCCAAACCCCACCACTCTGGCAGTGGCCGGACCACCTGGAGCGGTGCCCCCCCCCCCCCCCCCGGCGGGGGGGCGGGCCCCCCCCCCCCCGGGCGGGGCCCCCCCCCCCCCCCCGGGGCGGGGGCCCCCCCCCCCCCCCCTCACCTGATCCAGGTGTGTCCAGGTGGGGGCTGTGCCCCCCCTTCCCTCCACTCCAGGACTCCGGGGTGGGGGGGGGCGTCTTCTCGCTCTCTCCTTCTTTCCATGGTTTTTTCCTTAATTTTTTGGGGGAGGGGGAGGAATTTTTGGGGGAGGAAGAACAGAAATAAGGATTAATCACACGTTTAATTAGAGGTGTTACCCGTTATCAGGTAAGGAGGGGCGTGGCTGACGCAGGGAGCGGTGACTCCTCGGGAGCCACGCACCCAAATCCCATCTATTTTTATAGCAGAATATTAAAAATATCCCCAAAATCGCCTTTGCAAGAGGGGATGAGAGCCTGTTTTGTGCTCCCCGAGTTCCTTGGAAGCAGCTTGTGAACCCCAAGACTGATCGAGGCAAGTTTTGGGGGGTCCATGGCACCACAATTCCAGGGATTCCTCTGGTGCCCCCAAAATTGGGAGGGAGGGGATGTGTCTTGTCACACTTCCCCCCCTCTCCCTTCCCAAATTCTCCAAAATGGGCATTTTTTTTGCCCCAAATTACTCCACTTGCTGGAGTTTTGACAACTTGGAGCCTCCTGTCCAAAAAAAAAAAAAAAGGGCGGAACCCCACCTCAAAAACCCCGACCCTGAGTTCCCCCATACTCCTTATCATTGTTATTATTCTTAATTATTCTTAATTATTATTGATGTTGTTGTTATTATTATTATTATTATTGCGAGTCTTATTTATTTTCCCTTCGCCGTCGGGATAATTTCTCACTTTTCAGTGGTTTATTTCCCATTTATTTCCTCTTCTTTTCCCTGCTTTTCCCTAATCCTGGAACTCCCCAGGACCCTCATCTTTCCCCCCACCAGACCCTTCCCCAAACCCGTCCCTTGCTCCTGGTTTTTTTGTGTCGTGCCTGTGTGAAGCTTCTTGTAGTTTTAATTATTATTAATATAAATATTTAGGAGCGACCCCCCCGTCCCCCGTGTCCAGATCCGCCATCACCACCCCCCCCACCCCAACTCTGACCCCCCACCCCCTCTTCCAGGGATCCAGCAATGGAATTTTGGGGGGCGGGGGGGCCAGGGGACCCCCAATTCAGTAGCAATAAGGGGTCCCCACCTCAACCCCGGCCCATTTTTGGGGAGCCCAACGCGGGGACAAAACGTGCCCGGGGATCCCCCCCTGTGGCACCGCGGGACCCCTCGGAGGGGACCGGGACCCCCCCGGCCCTGGACTCGACTCTTTGTATTTTTCATGGAAAAAAAAAAAAAAAAATCAATAAATAAATTTAAAAGGCAGGTTTGTGTGTGGTTTTGGCAGGGAGGGCGCATCTGGCAGGGACCGGAGGGCTGAGGGACCCTCGGCCATTTCTCCCCTCACGTTTTCCCGCCCTTTTCTCCCCTCACGTTTTCCCGCCCTTTTCTCCCCTCACGTTTTCCCGCCCTTTTCTCCCCTCACGTTTTCCCGCCCTTTTCTCCCCTCACATTTCTTGGCCTTTTCCCATCACAAAAACAGAAAAGGAAAAAAACAAACAAACTCAAGTTTTTCCTCTCCGTTTAAACACCTTTTCTCCTCAAAATCCTTCGTTTTCTTTGGAGTCACCGGGATGGACCGGAGAGGAACTGCGGGCACTGCCGAGGTACTGGGATATGACTGGGGGCTCTGGGATGCACTGGGGGGTGGTTTTGGGATTGCTAGACAGGATTTAGAGACGCTGAGAGGGTTTTGAGTGTGTTCATTGCATTGTAGGGGATGCTGCCATGGGTTCGAGGGCTCTAAAGGAGGAGGCTAAATGGCGATTCAAGAGTTTTGGGGCACGTTGGGTAGACTTGAGTACAGCGCTGCCCCTCCGCTGTCGCCACGCTGCCGTAAAGCACGGCCGCCTCCCCCTCAGCGAGCTCGCCGCACTGCCGTAAAGTGCCTCCACTTTGCCGTGAACTGCTGCAGCAGCTCCGGGCGTGCCACACTACCGTAAAGCGCCGCCGCCTCCTCGTTGTGTTTGCCGCACCGCCGTAAAGCGCCGCTGCCGCGCTGGCCACACTGCCGTAAAAAGCGGCGGGGGCAGAGGGACCCTCGGGGTGGGGCACGGAGAGATTTGGGGTGGCTTGGGAAGGGATTTTGGGGGAGCACGGAGGAGTTTCGGGGTCCTGGGACAGGATTTTGGGGGGGCATGTGAAGAGAAACCCCACCCCAGCATCCCCCCGCCCGTTTCACCTGCGATTTTGGAGGTCTGGGTTTAAGGAAATTTCATTTTTCCCGTGATTTCAGGGGTGTCCCTGGACACGGGATCCCCGTTCCCCGTTATTTTCGGGTTTAAATGAGAAGGGAAAACCTTTCCGGTGCCTTTTTGGATGCGTTTGGAATGAGGGCAGCCCCCCTCAAGGGTTAAATTGAGGAGGAATCCCTGTTTCCCCTCATTTTTAAGGGTTTAAATTGAGACGTTTTTATGGGTCATTTTAGGAGTTTCATCGGGGGGGACTCTCTGTTTTAAAGTACCTTCAAAGGGGAAAAAAAGTGTCAAAAAAAACCCCCTAAAAAATAATGTTTATTGAGAGAAAACCAGCTTCGAACTGAGGTGAAAATTCAATTTCCCCTGATTTTTGCGGGTTGCATCGAGGCTGAACCCTCCATTTTCACCATTGCCGGGGTTTGAATTGAGGAGAAATTCCCTTTTTTTTTCCGCCATCCGAGGGGCTTAAATGGAGATTAAATTCCATATATCTATTTTTAATTTTATTTTTTTAATTTTTTTTTTTTTGTTGTTATTTTAATGAGGCGGGGGGCACGCCTTTGTCCACCGGGGACACGGGCGGGATGCGCGGATCTCCAGGGCAGGGACACACCGGGGACACACCGGGGACACACCGGGGGAGCCGTGACCGGTACCGGGGGTGGGAGGAGCCGCCCCCGCCGCGTTTCCGCCGCTGTCACCGGGGGGGACAAAAGCGGGACAATGCCGGGGAGCGCCGCGGCACCGGGAGGCGGCCAGGTACGGGAAACCGGGAACGGGAATGGGAAACCGGGAATGGGAATGGGGAACCGGGAATGGGGGAAAGGGCACCGGCAATGGGGAACCGGGAACGGGAATGGGGAAAGGGCACCGGGAATGGGGAACCGGGGACGGGGATCCGGGAATGGGAATAGGGAACCGGCACCGGGAATGGGGAACCGGCACCGGGAACGGGGATCCGGGAATGGGAATGGGGAACCGGGAACGGGAACGGGGGAAAAGGCACCGGGAATGGGGAAAGGGCACCGGGAATGGGGAACCGGGGACGGAAATGGGGAAACCGGGAGCGGCAACGGGGAACCGGGAACGGGAATGGGGAAAAGGAAGCGGGAATGGGGAAACGGGAACGGGAATGGGGAAGCGGCACCGGGAATGAGGAAACGGGAACGGGAATGG